GGCCAACTTTCTGAGGGGTGCAAGTTCATGAATAGTCTTATAACGTGCCCTCCTCTGCATTTTTATACTAGGGAAATCTGACTAGAATGAACATTAAAGAGGAGAAATTGTTTTTAAAGCCATATACTAAGGATGAATGAAACAGGGCAGAGGGAGGCAATAGTCCTGCCAGCTGCATGCCACCCAACTCCACCCCAATCTGTCTCCTGACTCTGGCTTGTGAGCCCGGGGAATTTCAGCACTGACTGTCAGAGTCACCCCCTCCCCTGCTGTTGGCCCCGGAGTGCAAGCTGTACTATAGGTGTCCTCAGTTCCTGTAACGGAGGGGACAGTTCTGAGTCCTGGATGAGCCTTGTAGATGCTGCTGCAGATGGCTTCTGGGCCAGACTCAGTAAATCCTCCCTGGCTCACCCACACCAGTAAGCTGAATGAAGACCTTAGGGCACCGGGCCCTTGAAAGGTGAAAAGATGCCTGTGTTTTGGGGACAGAAGGAAAAAGGCTGCACATCCAACCTCCCTTCCCAGCCTCTGGTTCCTGGCCTCGGTGTCAGTTACAGTCTGAGCACTCTTGCCCTTGGGATGTATTGGGCTTTCTTCTAATGCAGTTAATGGGTCTTCTGGGCTATAACTTGTCTCTACAAAGTCCTGTCCCAGAGGGGGGAAAGCGTAGAAGTGCAGTGTCTTCACATCAGGGTTATACCATGCCTACCAGCCTGTGACCAGAGTTCACATCTTCAGAGTCCTGCTCTGCCTCAGCCTCTGCCCTCAGCCATCCAAGAAAGGCTAGTTTCTTTCACATTCTTGGCCCCCCAAGACTGTCATGTTCAATTAGTTCAACTCATTTTTCTTCCTTTAGGAAACAGATTTGAAACAAAAACAAAAACAAAACAAAACTTCCCTGTGGTTGAGTTGTTTTTATCAGTAAAAGGAATACCTGACTAGGAGCACATTTTGGGATCAAAACTTAACTAGACAAATCAGTATTTTTCTGTATTTTTTCCTAGAGAGTAGGAAAGCCATACGATTTCATTGTAAGCTCTCTAAATTCAAACCAAATGCTACTTTATTTTTTCCCTCTCAAGTCTCAGAATTAGATAAGCACTTATCTAGATAAGATATCTAGAAATATCCTCTGGGTAGATAACATAGTGCTGTCTTAAAACAGAATGGAAGGAGGGGAGGAGGTAGAGAGGATGGGCCCTCGGTGGGGGAACATGGCCAAACAGGAGGATGGACTACATGGGGAGCCTGGTTTATCTGCCCATAGTTACACTTCATCGTTTGAACAAATGAAAAATGCAGTCACTAAAAATATTGCTCTTAGTAGAAACAGTGAGCTTTTGAATAGGGGCCAGGTCTCTTGAGCTTTCAGAGCTCTCCAGATAAAACCTGAGAGTGTTTTCCAAAATGCAAACACGAAATATTAAAGTTGAGGTGATGAGCAATGATTGGCAGCTAGGATTTTCAGATACCTCTGTTATTTAAAAAAATAAACCATCTCCATGCAGCCAAGAAGAAATGAGGACTTTCACAACTTACCTGGCAGACCAGGGATTTATGGAGAATTCAGTGAATGAGCTGATTCTGGACTGACTTCTCCCTGGTCCAAGCCAGTTGCTCTGAATCATCAGCTCACACTGTCATGCTGTCTTGGGGACACAGAAACAGTCACAGCACACCATTAACGGCCATAATTCCCAGGTTGTCCAGTATACTGGAAGTGGGTGTGTATGGTCCCTGCAGCCCACTGGCTGGCGTAAAGCCCCCAGAGATGGCCTGGCTGTCCTCAGAGTGGGAGGAGGAAAACTCAGCTGTTTCATGGTTACCTCTGATGGAGCTCTCTGGGGATGGTTTATTGACAGGACCTACTTGGAGCTCGAGATCACCCTTTCTCAGGAGCAGATCCAGAAGTACACAGACTGTCTGCAGTTCTATGTGAACAACACACTTAAAGAACTGAGGAGGCTCTTCCTTGTCCAGGACCTGGTGGATTCCTTAAAAGTATGGTTGCTTAAGCCATTCACTTGACAATCTTGAGTTTTGTTTTCCCTAATGGTATAACGTAAACCACCACATAATGGGGAATAAGAGGCAAGTGCTAATTACATTCTAGAGTGAGAAAACCTCCAGCTGTGTGGTACCATGGAGTGCATCCAGTCCAATCCTCTCATTTTACAGATGCCACAACTGTGGTTCAGAGAGGCTAAGTCACTTGCCTGAGGTTGCCCAGCGAGTCACTGGCTGGGATCAAACCAAGGGTCACATGGCTTCTAATTCTATACTTTTCACAACACACCAGGTTGTTTCTTCTTATCATTTTCAGTCCCTTGGCCAATTTCCTAAAATTAGTTCTTTAAAAATTCTAGTTTTGGAAATGTGAAAAATATATATATATGCTTTTTTCATTGAAAGAAACTCTGTGGACTCCTAATGGTGAGATGTCCCTGTGTCCTTACCTGGTGTGTGCTGTGAGACTGAGCCTCGGAAGCATGGAGGACCTTGGCACCTGTGTGTGATTCCTGGCACTCTCACTGAACTTACTAGGTTTCTTTGAACAAGCTGCTCAGCCCACCCTGTGGTGTATGTATAAGACTGAAGTCAACGGGGCAGGATTCAGCAGGGCCTGAGTGAGGTTGTTGTGAGTTCCCTGTGCTCCCAGAGTGCTTTGTACGCACACTGGGCAGGGGTCTTGTCGCCGGGGCTGCCCAACAACTGTTTGAGGAAGGGCAGAAGGAAAAGTGAGTGATGTGGCCTTGGAAGATGCTCTCCTGGAATAATACTACTTTCCAAGTAATGACTGAAGAGAGATACCAGGGAGATGATAATTACTGACCCAAGGGCTTTTAGGTTGATGTTTCTACTTGTATTTGTAATGTAAAAATACAGGCTAGAGCAGAGGTCATCAAACCTGATCTGTAAAGGGCTTTGCATGCCACATAATCTCTGTCACAGCTACTCAGCTTTGCCATCATAGTAGGAAAGCGGCCATACATGATGCATAAATGAATGGCTGTGGCTGCGTGCCAATAAAATTTTATTTATGAATACCGAAAGTTGCATTTCATATCATTTCTACATATCACAAAATGTTGTTCTTGCTTTGGTTTTCTTCAACCATTTAAAAATATGAAATTTATTCTTAACTCATGGGCCCATAAAAAAATAGGCCAAGGGCGATAGTTTGCTGACCCCTCCCTTATTATTTCATGGAGTCCTTCAAATCTTCTGACAAAGATGTCCAAAAGGTTCTAAGAGAAGTAAAGGCTAGGTTCTCTTTCAGTAATTCTGTGATGAACTTTAAATGCTTACATTTCTTATTGAAATGGTGTATTTTCCCTCCATTTTTAATCTAAAAAAAGTCAATGAAATAAGACGCTCATCTGTCACAAATGGTTTTAGAAGCTCTGATAAAGATTCCATTCTTCAGTTTGCAGTCCTGATGTGGCTCCTGACTTACGTTGGCGCTCTTTTCAACGGGCTGACCCTGCTGCTCATGGGTAAGGACAGATGAGCATGTTATGTCTTCCTTCACACTCTCCACGAGCATAAAGCTTCCTATGCTGTTAGCTGTGAGCTTGCTGTGGTAGAGTCCTAGAAACAACACCATAGTACAGGGCATTTCCCTGACCATCATAGTTCAATTTAAGAGTGTATATTATACATTAATAATGAATCTCTTAGTTTGAAGGAATTTTTCTCTTGAATCACAACTGGTTTTATTTGGTTTCTAATATATATTTGTTTGCAGTAGGCAATTATGGATAGAAATTAATTTTCATTGTGGGAAGGCACAATCCATCCCTCATTCCTGGAATGAGTCTGGGAATAATGGCTCAGTATCTGTAAAGGGCTCAACATCCCTTTGTTTTCCTTATGGACTGTCCTGCCATCTTTTTAAATTTTTTTTAATGTTTATTTTTTTAAGAGAGAGAGCCGGGGGTGCTGGGGGAAAGACAGAGAGAGGGAGACACAGAACCCGAAGCAGGATCCAGGCCCTGAGCTGTCAGCACAGAGCCCAACATGGGGCTCAAACCCACAAACCATGAGATCATGACCTGAGCCGAAGTCGGACATTTAACCAGCTGAGCCACCCAGGTGCCCCCAGTCCTGCCATCTTTTAGCTAGAATGCTAGCTCCCATAAAATAATGCTATAAGATTACATAATTATATAAAGATGTATCTAAAAGCTTATTCTCACTGATAACTCTCAGAATTTTAATACTGTATTTGTTTTTCATCCCAGCTGTGGTTTCAATGTTTACTCTACCTGTAGTGTATGTTAAGCACCAGGTAAGTCCTGTGTGATGTCAGATAGTCACCTTAAATTTTGACCTTGTGACCTTTGGATGTGCTCATGATTTCTTCTTCTTTGTAGGCACAGATTGACCAATATCTGGGACTTGTGAGGACTCACATAAACGCTGTTGTGGCAAAGTAAGTTACACAGTGCAGTTCCTAAAAAGGAGAGACTCTTTTTTTTTAATTTTTTTTTTATGTTTACTTATTTTTGAGACAGAGAGAGACAGAGCATGAATGGGGGAGGGTCAGAGAGAAGGAGACACAGAATCTGAAACAGGCTCCAGGCTCTGAGCCGTCAGCACAGAGCCTGACGCGGGGCTTGAACTCACGGACTGCGATATCATGACCTGAGCCAAAGTCGGCCGCTTAACCGACTGAGCCACCCAGGCGCCCCAAAAGGAGAGACTATCTTAGGCAGGCATTTGTGTGAATTAGATATGGGTAATAAAAGGACAATAAAATAGTAAGTTCATTTATGATCATTCACTTACTGGAGTCAGGCATTTACACCTTTCCCAATCATATTATTTCAGAAAATTAATTATACACTTTAAAATGCTTAATGAAATAAAGCTTCAGTGGTTTAATTCAGGTATGATGATGAATGAGTTCTAATGAATGAACGATATTATGCTTTATCTGGAGACTGACTCATGTCCAAGAACAAGATGGGTTGGAGGAAAGAAGGAAGCCTGATTCAGAAAACTAAAATTAATTTACAACAGTTTGATTGAGATAAAAACAATCAAATTAACATACATTTTCAATCTTTCAAACAATAAAGAGCACTGATTTTTTTAAAATATAATTTATCGTCAAATTGGCTAACATACAGTGTGCTCAGTGTGCTCTTGGTTTTGGGGGTAGATTCCCATGATTCATTGCTTACATACAACACTCACTGTAAAGAGCACTGATTTTTAAACCATTGAAATTATTTTTCCAACTTGAAAAAATGTTTAAATCTGTAATATTTGTTATATTTTCTGTTACACCATTTTGACTCAACAAGGGTGTGTGTTTGCTTATTTAATTAACACCATTGCTTTTTATTTTTTCTTCTTTTTAATGTTTATTTTTGAGAGAGGGAGAGAACTTGAGCAGGGGAGGGGTGGAGAGAGGGAAACAGAGGATCTGAAGTGGCCTCTGCACTGACAGCAGCGAGCCCTACGCGGGGCTCGAATTCATGAACCGCAAGTTCATGACCTGAGCCGAAGTCGGACACTCAACAGACCGAGCCACCCAGGAGCCCTTTAAACAGACTCTACATTATGGTTCCTTTGTATATTAGCAAATAAAGATTCCAGTTATAAGTATCCACAGCTAGTATGGACATTAAACTTAGTTCTTCATAATTTTTAAGTAAATTAGTGTTTGTAAATTTACGTCAGTCTAAACCACCTGGAATTATAGTTTTTATATTGTCATTTTGTTACTGATTTTGTTTTAATCAAAAGCTGACCTAGGCTCCAACTGGAAATACATGTCACAAAAGGGCTAGACTATGTCGAGATTGAACTCCCTCTCCTAATCTTAGGATCATGGGGCTAGACCTCAGTGATGGTCAGAATTAGAGGGAAATATGTTAGACAGCCAATGATGTATCAACAACACCAACAGATAAGAGAAAGCAACCATTTTAAAGTTCCTCTGCTATTTGATTTGTACATCATCAGTTATGATTCTCTCCTAAACTATAGGAAGTGTTTTGTCTTGTTTTCTTTTGTTTTATTGTGTACTGCTCATAATTCTTCCTCCTAAATTCATGGTGAATTTGGATCTAGATCAGATCTGTGGCACATTTCAAAATGTCTGAAATTATCTCCTTGGACCCAAATGCAACTAAAACCTCATGAAAATCAACAAACTGAGGATAAAGTATTCATTATTTCGTATTAAGGAATGGCACCGTGGTATAGTGTAAAAGTCGGTGGTTGCCAAAACCTGGGAAACTGTCAAAGACACCAGTTCCCAAATTCTTTTTTTTTTTTTTAATTTTTTTTTTTTAACGTTTATTTATTTTTGAGACAGAGAGAGACAGAGCATGAGTGGGGGAGGGTCAGAGAGAGAGGGAGACACAGAATCCAAAACAGGCTCCAGGCTCTGAGCCGTCAGCACAGAGCCCGACGCGGGGCTTGAACTCACGGACTGCGAGATCATGACCTGAGCTGAAGTCGGACGCTTAACCGACTGAGCCACCCAGGCGCGCCCAGTTACCAGATTCTTAAAACAGACCTAGAGAATTCGAATTTCTAGGATTGGGGACCTGGAATCCATATTTTAATGAACTCTCCAGGTAACTTTTTGGCAATTAGAGCTGTGTTTTGGGGAACTGTAGCAACACCGGAATAGGAAGGAGAACACCAGAATAGGAGCCTAGAAATCAGAAGCTAGACATTCTAGTCCTAAGTTATCCAATACTTAGTTTGGGGATCTTGAACAAATCACATCTATTACTTTTTTTATTTGGTCAATAGGTTGGTTGGCTCCAAAAAGAGACATGCCTGTTATGCCCCAGGTACTCCACGGAACAGGCACAGAGGGTAAAAAGATGAATGAGCTGATCTCCACTCTAGTAGAGCTCCCAGCCTCTCAGTGCAGATAAAACTGTAAAGAGATAAATAAGTATAAGACAATATAAGAACTACAATGGAGCTGTATAAAATGTTAAGGTCAGGGAGATAAGGAAATAACTGTTCCTACCTGGAGGGATAATGGAAATGGCATTAAATCCTCACTAAAATGAAGGCCTTTGTCTTAGTTCAGGCCACTGTACTAAGTACCATAGACTTGGTGGCTTATAAACAACAGAAATTTATGTCTCGCCGTTCCGGAGGCTGGAGGCCCAAGATCAGAGTGCCAGCGCGGTCAGGCTCTAATTAGGGCCTTCTTTCAGGTTACAGACTTCTTGCTCTGTCCTCACACGGTGGAAGTGGAAGGGAGCTCTCTGGGGTTTCTTTTATAGGGCACTAATCCTACTCATGAAAGTTCCACCCTCATGACCTAATCACCTCTGAAAGGCCTCATCCCCTAAGACCAACACAATGCGGGTTAATTTCAACATACGAATTTGAGCAAGGGGCAGGGGGGGTGGGGTGGGGGACACAAATATTCAGTCTATGGCAAC